GTTTTTGAAAGATATTGCACCAGTTTGCTCCACGTTCAAGGGTTTGAATACTTACGAAACAAGAAAAGTGATGTCACTCCAGGTTTCAAAGGGTTAAAAATGTTGCGCAATGTCCTTTTACGGTCTTTAGGTTGCATGTCCTGTTCTTGTTTTATTTCTTTGTCTTGTTGGTGTGTCTAAAGAAGCTTTGTAGCCTTGACAATGTTGGCACATCACAGATAGAGGTGACCTGTTTACTGTAAACCTGCAGGTGCAACAACAAGGAGTGGCAACGTGAAACTTTTTCCAGACTTAAACCAATAATACATTCCACAGACTGAGGTGATGACTAACAAAGCACCCCACGCTGGAGTCGGCTCAGCAGCAGCCCTGCCCATGACAGCTGTAACACAACAGATCACCAGTAATCAGAGTCCTGAGGGCCTTAACATGAAGCCAGCTCAACAGAGCCGGGCGCTCTTTACCTGAGCTGGCTCGACAAACCCTGCAGCCTCAGTCAGAGATAACATCAACTGTCTCTGCTAACTCAGACGTTCTACTCATACAACAACAAAATCAATTGTGTGCCGCCTACCTCTGCCCTCGAAGAATATTAAAAAGTATCACATTAAAAGGTGACACTGTGGCCTCAATAATAATAACAATAATAATAATGATAATAATGATAATAACTTTATTTGTGTGGCACAGTTCATACAGCAAGAGCTACTCAAAGTGCTTTACATGAGTAAAATGAGAAAATACACATAAAAAGCAGAATAAGAGAGTAAGATACAAGTGTACACACACACACACACACACACACATATATAACATCATTAATAAAAACAATAACTTGGCTATTAAAAAACAAATTAAAATGTAATAAAAATAAGATAATTTAAAAAAACACTTACAAAGCCAAAATCAATTTAATAAAAACAAAACTATAATAAAATGAAACTGAGGCATTAAAAAAAGAAAAAGAAAGCACATGAATATGTGATTGCCCTCCATCCCCACCCCACTGTGTTTCCAATTGGTTAGCAAATTCACAGCCAATTAAGGTCAACTGACAACGGCCAGAGAAGGAGAGGGACACACCCAGAGACACAGAGACAGAGCAAGAGAGAGTAAATTAGGAAATAATGGCATGTCCCTTCATCGAGGATCCTGTTGATGAGGAGGCCCACATTGTGCAGAGGGCCTTCCAACCACCACCAGCCCCAAGGGTCTTCCAGGACAGGACCAGCCCATTGATACAGACAGACTCCTATCTGTGGGAGAGGTACCGGTTCAGCAGGCAGAGCATAGTGTATCTATGCAGTTTGCTGGAACCACACATTGTAACGGTCACACGCTGCAGCCAGTCTCTGACCACTGTGCAGTCAGTCTGTACTGCACTGAGGTTCTTTGCTAGCGGTACATTCCTGTATAGTGTTGGTGATGCTGAGAGGCTAAGTAAGGCAACTGTTTGCAGAGAGGTAAAAAAGGTGTATTTTCTATTCATTTTGATTATTTCTAGCATCACCATACATCATGCATAGGGCTTGATTTGCTCACATTAACATATGGTTATCTTTTATATTTATGAATTAACCATGACACAAAGCAACCACATTAAAATGGGACACACACCTTTGTGGTCTGTCTGCTCCTCATCCTATAGCACATGCCATACATTTTCCTTATTTTGATATAATAAGAGATAGAGCTCACAGTTGACTCCCACATGATGAGAAATAGATCATTGATTCACTATCACCTGCATTCACTTAATAGTTTTCCTCATCTCCACTGAACTGATGGATTTACTAAATGTCATTTTCTACAATCAATAGATCAGTGTCTTGTGATTATTTCCTATAAACTGATCATTTGCCACAAAAAAGCTCCAGCATCCTGATGACAACCACACATTCACATATTGACCAAATTATTGTACATTTGGCCTTTTTTGGGATTATTGATTGTACGTCGTACAGAGGGCCAAATTATCGTACAAATACGAAAATTATCGTACACCTGGCAACGCTGGACTGTCATACACTGTAACAGTCACGCACCTGTGGGCCCAACTGGTTTATTGTTCAGTGAGTTATGAAGTTATTTGTGTGTCTGGTTAGTTTACAGTGATTGTGAATATTATCTTCACACAGCAGTATCAGCTTATCGTACTGTATTATAAGTCCTTTTGTACCAAAAAGTTAGTAACCACATCATAAGCACTTGGTGTGGTCTTTGGTTAGTGGGCCTTTCATCGTCACGTACAAGCATACACCAGTTATCTCTTCTGCTTTTGCTCTGTTGGTCTTTAACACAGTATGAGCAGACTGTGGAATAGTATCACATATTTATTTTATCTCTGTTCATCTGTTTTCATTTTTGTCCTTTTCATTCTTCACACACACTTGTGCGCACATATATCCTTCAGATGTGTTGTTTTATTACCTGTGCTGTGTCCTTCCTGTTCTCTGTGTCATTAAAAAAAATCTGACTCCGACATTTCATGTTAAAGTCAATATGGACTGATAAAGATGAAGTGCTGATATTATTGTGCCCCCCCAACATATACCGATAGACCATTCTATAAACTGCAATGTTAAACAGACTAACAAATCAGAACCAAGCATAAAAACATAATCCAAAGTGGTAAGATTATGGTCTGAAGACGAAAAACACTGACACATCAACGACAGTGTGATTATAACATCCACAACATCTGTTTCACCCTCAGCTGTTTCTGTGATTTGAGAAATATTTTACAAACTAGTAAAGTCACCGACGCCACTGTTTCAACACAGATTGGTCGTTCACAATGTAGCATCAACAAAAATAATGAAGTGCGTCCCTGGAATGCATCGATTGTGAGAATCACTGCGTCCTATCAGATGTGTCAGCAATGCAGGGCATGAACCGAATAACATCAACATTCAACACTGCCATCGAGTACACCGAAACAAAAGGACACTATGTGACCGTGCAATTAGCTGGAAGGCTCCTGCAGGTGAACAGAAGGACTGGGTGTGGTTTACAAGATTCAAGATTCAAGATTAACTTTATTGTCTCACGAAGTGAGAAATTTGTTCTGGGCCGTTCACCCATGCTGCAGCCACAACACAGAACATACAATACGATACAACACAATACCAAACATACAATAGATATGCGCATTCCATATCATACAAGGTGCTGAAAAGTGCAAGAAACATGGCGATTTAAAAAATGAATAAATAACACCTAATAGGGCTAATAAAATGCTAAAATTATAATAAGTAAAAAATACTAACCTCTGCAAAACAAACAAACGCAAGTCATCTGAGCTCTGGTCTTATCTGACCTTGTTTACCATCTTTATTGACACAGGAACAAACGAGATTTTAAATCTGTTCAGTCTGCAGTGAGGAGCTCTAAACCTTCTACCAGATGGTAGCAGCTCATACTCGCCATGCATGATGTGTGATGGATCGCAGATAATTTTATTTGCTTGTTGCAGAGTGGCCTGTTCATAAATGCTCTGAATGGAGAAGTGCTCTTTAACACCAATAATTTTTCCAGCAGCATGAATTAGCCGAAACAGTTTGTTCTTTAGCTGCACAGAGAGGTTACCAAACCAAGCTGTGATACTATACCTGATCAGACTCTCTAAGACTGCCTTATAAAAAATCAACATAAATCTTTGATCAACACCATGAATTCTCAGACGAAGAAGAAAATGCAACCGTTGCTGTAGTCTGCAACAGAGGCTGTTGACGTGTGTGCTCCAGGTACCACAGTGAGCAGCAGTGTTCTGCATACTTCCTGTTGATTGATTTATTGTTATTACAGACAGAGATAATTACCAGAGCCAGTGCCAGGTGATGTTTTAAGCTCAGCCACAGCCCTCTCCATGAGAGCCTGATGCAGGACACGTTTGCTCTCTCTCTCTGGAGAGAATTCATTTTTTATATTGTGTATTTTGTGTTTGTCATCCTGTTTTGCAGGACAGTTAATTACTGTGATAACAGTTTTAACATTAATGCAACATGTCCCTTAACCGGCTATAAACACACGTCCCACAGGCGAGGGTTCTTGTTTTCATGATCCTGTTAAAAATTAATCTAAAATAAAAACCAACCACAACAGAAAGCTATTACATTGTCTGTGTGCAGCAGCGTCATTACATTATGCTGCTCCAAGATACGCTGCAAACACACAGTGACACCGCCGTACTGTCCCGTCATGGCTGCAGGAGATGGCTGTTTGAATAATCCTTTTTTAAACTGACCTAAAATAAAAACTATAACAGCCAGAGCATTCTTTTGACTTCTTCTAGGCCCTTAAAGGGTTATTTTACTTGATAAATGTAATAATAATGATTTTCTATTATGCTATACACTGAAAGTGTGATATATATTCTGAGGTGGTTATATCACTTTGAAAATCTCATACTGTTGCAGCCCTATTTGGCTTTAAAGGAGAGACTCGGTGGAGTGTCACCATCGTAACAGTGACATCAGTGGGATTTTTAACAGTGTAGCCTGAAGGCAGCTAATTTAGCTTAAGCAGCTTAAGATAAAAAAGCAGGACTGTGGAGATGATAAAATATATCAGTTAATGCCATGACAGTTTTTCTTCATAGTTCAGATGCAATGTTTCAATGCACTTTGGAGAATAGGTGACACCAAAACTGTGTTCCACTTTGCAAAGAATCTGCAAATGCATGCTCGAAGTGGATGCTTTAGAAGTTCTGATTTCATTGTTCATTGTTCCACCGCAGTTGGCAGCAGTGCATCTAAAAACACAGCTCCACCTCTTCTCAGAAGTTGGCCTTGTGTTTAAATACCAACAGAGAGAGGATTGCTCCACTCAGGTAAGAAATATGAATTGTGGTCACCTATAATACGCAGACAGGTGAAACAAGTTCTGCTTCATGCTTTATACTTCCAGTAAATGATGTGAATGATAAGAAAAAAAGTTTCATTTCCTTGTGGTAGAGTATTTAAGATGCAGATCACGCTGCAGAGGGCACACTCAGAAGGATGGCTTCTCTCACCCTGCTGCACCTGCTGCTCATGATCTCAGCTGTAAGTGCATGGAGCTATGATCCCAACAGGTACAGGTCCTTCAGCGGATCACAGACCTTCACCCCAAAAGGACAGAATCCAGACGGGACTTATGGGGTAAGTTACATTTTGGGTGTCAAGTAAATCTCATTAGAGGGTATCCTGTCACGTCCTCACTAATGTGTTATCTCTGTTGTCAGAGAAAATGTTCTGTATCTTAACTTCATTTAATAAAAAAGCAGTGTTGTACAGTGTCATCAGTGAAAGCTGGCTGAACTCTGCCATAAGAAGAAGGATGCTTTCTTATCAAATCTATTTTGGATGAATGATGATAATATGATTTCTGCCAGATGAAGATAAATGCACAGTTTGGTTGTAAAATGCGATATCCAACCCCCACTCTTCCATGGCTTTTCTGGCTCCAGAGTTCAACAGATTGCAGGTCAACTGCTACAAGTTAAACAGAAAATGTTGGCATCTCTGTAAACCACAAATACATTAAACTGGTATGTTTCATCATATCAGCATTTCTAAAGTGATGGAGTATATGAGTTGACTTGGTCATTTGAAGGTGGAGGGGATGTTGGATGGCGTGACACCGAGGCAAGACGCCTGCAAAGCTTCAGACCACTGTTAGAGACCGAGACATTGTTCAGTTTCTTGCAGGGATTGTGCCCCCTTAACCGGGTATTTTGAGCTATAACATGATCTTGTCAGAGCCATAACTGAGTGGTTTTTGTGCTTAAACATAACCACACATTTACCACAGCCTTGTTGAAACTTAATGTTTAATGTATTTGCTACATAATAATGTGCGAATGTAACGTACCCAAGGTTTGCAGAAATGTACCAACATTTTGCTCTGGGGACTGGGCTGAGTGTAATTATTGAATGATTCTTTACAGGTGGAACTTCGCAGCACACAAACGACAGTCTCCTGCTATGTGAATGACTACCAATGCCTCTCTGGTAACTGCGGGTACCCGACCCAGACGACCAGCGCAACTGTTGCCTGGGATTCCTATGGTCTCAGATGGTGTCAACAGGAGGTGGTGAAAACACTACAACTCAACAGCAACCTCCCGTTTGAGATTAGGTGAGATTTTACTTGTAAGATTTATTGATCAAAATCCACCTCAGTTTACATAAAACATTTTATAAATACATACTGTCTGTGTACTATGAGGGAATTTAGTTCAGAAGTCACATGATTGTAACACCTTGTAACTCCCCACTGTGCCTTTTGTTTGAATATTTCTTTGAAAAGGTACCCCTCTTATTTCGATTATCGCTTTGGTAAGGGCTACTGGGTGTCAAATGTCAGAAGCTCGTCGGCTGCCTGGAGAATGATGGCGCATGTGGACCTGGGAACCCGATCTGATACTGGTGACTCTAACAGATCTCCCATCATGACTGTGGTGCCAATTCTCAGGTAATGACCATCATTCCCTCTTTAACTGACACACTTAAACTAGTTGAGGGGTGGTAGCTAGATGATTGAGGAGACTGTTTATAAGGCAGGAATTATTTTTACTCTCATCACAATACACACAGAGAACAGCTGAGCCTGATGGGAACGTCATTATTGTTGCAAGTCAAAACCAAAACACCAGGGGCTCACTGAAGTATTATCAAATTCATCCTGTAGGGAAATAACTTTGTACCACAGTTCATGGCAACCCATCCAATAGTTATCGAGATATTTCATTAAAACCCCAAAATGTGAACCTTGTGTCAGTTATAGAGCAAAGTCAGAGAATCACTAAAGTCATAAGGCTTCATCCTCTGGGGACCATGAATGATAATAATATAATATAAAATAAAATAATAATAAATTTAGGAAAAGTTAAATGACTACATACAGAACATATCAATCAATCAATCAATCAATCAATTTTATTTATAAAGCCCAATATCACAAATCACAATTTGCCTCACAGGGCTTTACAGCATACGACATCCCTCTGTCCTTATGACCCTCACAGCTGATCAGGAAAAACTCCCCAAAAAAACCCTTTAACAGGGAAAAAACAGTAGAAACCTCAGGAAGAGCAACTGAGGAGGGATCCCTCTTCCAGGACGGACAGACGTGCAATAGATGTCGTACAGAACAGATCAGCATGATAAATTAACAGTAATCCATATGACACAATGAGACAGAGAGAGAGAGAGAGAGAGAGAGAGAGAGAGAGAGAGAGAGAGAGATGCAGGTAATGACAGTAGCTTACAACAACATTATTGAAAGTAATAATATTATAGTTATAGTTCTGGCTACTGTGGTACAATATGTTGAAAGTATGTATTAATATCTGGCAGTATACATGTGTGACAATAGTCATATGTGTATAATAACAGTAGAAGTATGACTAATGACTAATGATGGCAGCAGCAGCAGGAGGCATCTGGCAGGACCACGGCAGCAGCACAACCACACACGTCACGCTGTCCAGGCACCGCTGCGATATGAGTTAATCTGAGAGACAGTGGAGCACAAAGGCTCCGGAGAAGAAGCCGAGTTAGTGACATCCAGAATGGCCGAGTTAGCAAGATGCAGTAATAGGATGAGAGTGAGAGAGAGAGAGAGAGAGAGAGAGAGAGAGAGAGAGAGGGAGAGAGAGGGAGCCCGGTGTATTATAGGGGGTCCTCCGGCAGACTAGGCCTAAGTCAGCCTAACTAGGGGCTGGTACAGGGCAAGCCTGAGCCAGCCCTAACTATAAGCTTTATCAAAGAGGAAAGTCTTAAGTCTAGTCTTAAATGTGGAGACGGTGTCTGCCTCCCGGACCGTAACAGGAAGATGATTCCACAGGAGAGGAGCCTGATAGCTGAAGGCTCTGGCTCCTGATCTACTTTTGGAGACTTTAGGGACCACGAGTAACCCTGCGTTCTCAGAGCGCAGTGTTCTGGTGGGATAATATGGCACTATGAGCTCTCTAAGATATGACGGAGCTTGACCATTTAGAGCTTTATAAGTTAACAGTAGGATTTTAAATTCAATTCTGGATTTTACAGGGAGCCAGTGCAGAGAAGCTAAAACAGGAGAAATATGATCTCGTTTCTTAGTTCCTGTTAGTACACGTGCTGCTGCATTCTGAATTAGCTGGAGAGTTTTTAAGGACTTACTAGAGCTACCTGATAATAGAGAGTTACAGTAATCCAGCCTTGAGGTAACAAAAGCGTGGACCAATTTTTCTGCATCTTTTCGGGTCAGGATAGGCCTAATTTTCGCAATATTACGCAGATGAAAAAATGCAGTCCGTGAGGTTTGCTTTAAATGAGAATTAAAAGACAAATCTTGATCAAATATTACTCCGAGGTTTCTTACGGTAGTGCTAGAGGCCAGAGCAATGCCATCTAGAGAAACTATGTCATCAGATAAAGAGTCTCTGAGTTGTTTGGGGCCAAGAACAATAACTTCAGTTTTGTCTGAATTTAACATCAGGAAATTGGTGCTCATCCAATTTTTTATGTCTTTAAGGCAGTTATGGAGTTTAGTTAATTGATTACTTTCTTCTGGCTTCATCGATAAATACAACTGTGTATCATCCGCATAACAATGGAAATTTATAGAGTGATTTCTAATGATGTTACCTAAAGGAAGCATATATAGAGTAAATAGGATTGGTCCGAGCACAGAACCTTGCGGAACTCCAAAACAAACTTTGGTACGTAAGGATGATTCATTACGAACGTCAACAAATTGAAAACGATCAGATAAATAAGATTTAAACCAGCTTAGTGCTGAACCTTTTAGGCCAATTAAGTGATCCAGTCTCTGCAGTAGAATTTGATGGTCAATTGTGTCAAACGCCGCACTAAGATCTAATAAAACAAGAACAGAGACGAGTCCTTTGTCTGAAGCAATCAGAAGGTCATTTGTAATTTTAACTAGAGCTGTCTCAGTGCTATGATGCACTCTAAATCCTGACTGAAATTCCTCAAATAAATTATTATCCTGGAGAAAATCACACAGCTGGTCTGCGACTACTTTCTCAAGGATCTTTGACATAAAGGGAAGATTAGATATTGGTCTATAGTTGGCTAACACCTCTGGATCCAGGGTGGGCTTTTTTAGGAGAGGTTTAATTACAGCTACCTTAAAAGACTGTGGTACATAGCCTGTTAATAAGGATAGATTGATCATATCTAATATATGAGTGTTAACTAAAGGAAAGACCTCCTTAAGTAGCCTAGTTGGGATGGGGTCTAAGACATAAGTGCCATAAACGTATGTACTTTGTGTAGTTAGGTACAGTTTGTACAGTCATGTAACTACACTGACTTTTGGTTTCACACTGGACCTGAACAGCGTGTCCTGATTTAAAGTCCATGTTTGTTGATGCTGTCTTATAATGTTGTGTTCTGCAAAGGTATAGTCAAAGACAAATCTCCACTACAGTGGACAATAATGCTGATTCAGCTGATTCTTATGTTACAGAGTACCCAGGAACTGCCCACGATCATTCAATCTGACTGTGTTTGACCCTGATGGTGACCACGTCAGATGCAGGACGGCATCATCCTATCCTGAGTGTGGGCTGTGTGGCCTGTCTGCAGGTTTCTCACTGGATCAGGTATCTATCTATCTATCTATCTATCTATCTATCTATCTATCTATCTATCTATCTATCTATCTATCTATCTGTCTATCTATCTGTCTATCTATCTATCTATCTATCTATCTATCTATCTATCTAGCATTGGTTTAAGTCTGCATCTCCTGACAGAACAGCTCTGTTGAATTGAAAATGAATATCTCATAACAGCGTTGTTAATATACACCATGCTCTCTGTCTGCTGACTCGTATTTTCTCTGAATCAAAAATATTTCCACTCTGCTGATTTATTCCTGAGTAAAGAACGTTATCCTCTCCGTCGTTCTCTTGACTGCTTGTCACCTGCCTGCCGCCGTTTGACGGTGACACAGACTTTGAAAATAAAAGCATATCCTAAAGATGATGATATGGATCAATGTTTTCACTTTGAATCGATGACATTGGATCGTTGATCAATAAATCAATGAATCCATCCACATCGATGGATCATGGCGCCCCTACTGTTTGAAAGTAGGGGAGTTGAAATGTGGGCTTTTCTTTTGGGCATGCATCTCCACTCAGCCTTATACACTGGCGGTGAGTTGGTTTGTGTGCAACATCTCCATGACAACGCACAAAGCTGAACAGACAAGAGGCTGTGTGCCGCAAACTGCAGTAAAAACCCAGCTGAGACGCATATTCTTAATGTGTTGAACTTGGAAAATCCAAATGGAATATGCTGTTTACGTCACCAGCATCAAATTCAGGATATTAGTGTGAATGTGAACTGACTGAATGACACTGATAGAAAAACAACATGCGTCACTAATATAAAGAAAATCTCACCCAAGTCGTGAAATTAACTTTGAGACACGCTCAACTCTCTGCAGAGCCCTGAAGCCCCGCCCCCAATGCTGCACAGAGCCACAGAGCGCTGTTTGCTTGTTATTCAATACTGATCATGTCAACTTAGCAATTCACTCAGCAAATGTGAGGGGGATTAGATGAACGATGATTTTTCCAAATCTGATTTTACACCAATTTGCTCTCATTAAAATTAAAGCCAACAGATCGTCTCCTGAAAAGTTCATTTCAGAGAACGTCGATATGAGAGCGATGAAAACGAAACTAAACCCAGAGATGTTAACATACAACTCACAAAGTTACTGCAGTCATTGTTTATTGTACGATCAAAGTCTCTCCTCTCTGTCAGGAGTCCTGCTCCCTACAGTATTCATACAGCGGTCGAACTGGTTACCATCCCATTGAGCTAGTGGTGGAGGACTTCCCCAACACACCCATCACTCTGTCCTACTCTGACGGATCCAGCAGAGCAAAGACACCGCCTTCAGCAGTAAGGGTTAGACGTGACCACGGAGCCACAGCTACATGGACCACAGCTGCACCAACCACAGCTGCTCCAACCACAGCTGCTCCAACCACAGCTTATCCAACAACAGCTGCTCCAACCACAGCTTATCCAACCACAGCTTATCCAACAACAGCTGCTCCAACCACAGCTTATCCAACCACAGCTGCTCCAACCACAGCT